TGATAGGGACAGCACAGTTAATATGTTCTTATTTAGAAAAAATAAAACTTGGCCACACTATTGGTTTCCCCCTCCTCTAATTTTTTTTTAAAGACTTATTTATTTATTTATTTATTTATTTGAGAGAAAGAGCAGGGGGAGGGGCAGAGGGCAAGAAACACAAGCAGACTCAGTGCTGAGCACGGAGCCCTACGTGGGGCTCGATCTCATGACCCCAAGATCGTGACTTGAGCCAAAATCAAGAGTCAGATGCTTTATTGACTGAGCCACCCAGACTCCCCTAATTTTTTTTTTTTAATTTACTGCTACAGCATAAAATCTAAATGCCTGGGAAGCACTCTTCCACAGAAGTATGAAAGTAGCGATCCATGTGTAAAGATTAATCATAATTTCCAAGAGCTATACAGGCCACAAAGTTAGGCTACCTCAAAGTCACAAAGAAGCTGACAGTCTTCTCAGACAAGAGACAAAATCAGAATATACAGCCTGAAAGTCAAATGTGAACCTCAATACTCAGAAATTCCTCTATCAGTTAGATTTGTAACAAAAATTAACGGGAAAATAAATAATTCCGGTAGTATGGTGGATGCACAGAGCACACCACTGTGAGCAAAATGGCACAATTCATAGAGCATTGAAGTTGGACTTTAAGAGCTATAGTATCTAGCGATGTCCAAAGAAGGTATGAAGCTTCTGCGGCCACCAGAAGGACAAAGACACAAGAACTAAGTTTGACTGGATCTCTTAAATCAGCAACCTTCTATTCCTGTTGCCTTCCTGATTAAATATCATGATGCAAAATATCTGCACACTAAGTAAAAGAATTCCAGCTGGTAGACATGACTCAGACATTTGTAAGAATATAGTTAATACATGCAAGCCCATTAGGTTTTTAGGTAACAGGAAGAAAAATGCAGTACAATTTATTTTTCTCTTGCTAAGGCACTGCCATGTAAGCATAAACCTCGAGTATTAATAATAGAATCCAGGTTTACAAGAGGAAAGCATAGTGAGAATGTCAGATGCCGTGGAAGCTCATGTGTTTCTCAAAACTAAAAACTGCAAGAAGAAAAAACAGAAGTGGCCTGCTTTATCCATCTTGCTTAACGAAAGAGCTGCGGTTTAAATTGTTTAAAGTCACAAACTGTTAATTTTTGGAAATGATGTGGATGCTGGCTACTAGTAGTATCAAAAATATATTCAGGATCGTTTTTGCTGTATTTGTAATTTTACAAAGTTGAAGGAGGTTGATGAACTACTGTTAGGAGCCATTCCTGTGTTCCATGTAACAGACATGGTAATTATTTGTTTATAATGTTTAGTAAGCCATCCATTTAAGTTTAAACAAAATCAATAAAAACGAAGTATGTTGGGGTGCCGGGGTGGCACAGTCGGTTAAGCAGCTAACTCTTGGTTTCAGCTCAGGTCCTGTTCTCAGGGATGTGGAATGGAGCACTGCATCGGGCTCTGCGCTCAGTGTGGAGTCTGCTTAAGATTCTCTCTTCCTCTGCCCCTCCCCCCTCAAATAAATAAATAAATCTTTAAAAACAAAAAGGAAATACGTACACATATATGATCTGGAAATTAAAGTTAGTCTTAAAATGCAAATAAAATATGGAAAGGGTCTTAAAACTTTTTTTAATCACATACTCAAGAAGGTACCTACCTGATCCCCTCACTCTCCACTATTCTATTGCCAAGGTGGCCCTTGTCTCCAAGGTGGCCCTTGAGGGCAGTTCAGGACCAGGGGACCAATGGCAAGTTACCTACCTATCTCCACGTTAGCCTTCTCATTCCCTCCTGGACTATTCTACGTGACGTCTGTCTCTTCTCTCTTTCAGCACACCATGTGAACCCTCTCCTCCTTAAAACCCAGCTCAGGGGCGCCTGGGTGGCTCAGTCAGTTAAGTGTCCGCTTTCGGCTCAGGTCATGATCTCAGGGTCCTGGGACTGAGCCCCGCATCAGGCTCTGTGCTCAGTGGTGAGTCTGCTTCTCCCTCTCCCTCTGCCCCCCCCCCCCCCCCACTGCTCATGCTCTCGCTCGCTCTCTCTCAAATAATAAATAAAATCTTTAAAAGAAATACAATAAAACCCAGCTCAGTATTCACAGCCTCCATTAAAACAAAGCAAAACAAACTAAACAGAAAACACATGGCTTGTAGATCTCTCCCTCTACTTCTGCACAGCCCCTGCATTTATGCACTCAGTAGGATAGAGCACTAAACAAACACTGGATGATGATACAAGTATTTTCTCTAGGACTGAATCAGGGATAATCTGGGATAACAAAGAATATAAATATTATTCATCACCTATTTTGGAAAAATTACAGCCAGTAATTCCATTATCCTAAATACAAATATTTCTGCAGAAACAAAGCCTATCAGAATTTAATCTTTACTCAAAACAAACCATTACCTGTGTTTAATGGACCAGAGCAGTTAAAATGCCACCAAGTAACAGGACCAGTCTGAACATGTGGTCTGGAAATTCTATTCGACCAAGAGCAAAAAGCACACACCACTGACTCGCTTAATCTAATTAAGCTTTCCCAAGGCTGTAAATTCTGTGTGTCGCAAGCAAAGCCACTAAATTCTCGTCCAGAAGTTGTTGCCTACCCAATTACTCCCACCTCTCCCTCTCTGAAGATGGGTCAAGAGGAAACGATGAAACAGTCTTTCAAACCCAAAGCAGCCCTGCCCATCAGTGTCCTCCAGCCCCTCACTCTGCCCTCCCCTACCCTGCAGGTTGCACTGTTTTGGACCGCTTTGAGTCCTCTCTCCTCTCTGATGCATCCTGGTATGTGCTTTTCCTTCTTATGTTGGGTAAGGACAGTGCAGTAACCAGAAGTGACACAGAGACAGGGCAGAATTGTTTTAAGGTAATACAAGTGAAAGGATGTCTGTAGGCACTGAGGAAAAAATGTCCCTAGGATGGTAACGTATGAAGTCCTGACTGTCCTCATCAAGGCGTTTATCACAATCCACAATCACATACTCAGGTGCTTCCCAACTTACTGCAACCGATTCCCCTTCCCCTCCTTCCTTAAAACACTTAATATTTCACTTTTAAGACTCGAGTCTTGAGGCACGTGGGTGGCTCAGTGGGTTAAGCGTCTGGGTTAAGGTCATGATCCCAGAATCCTGGGATCGAGCCCCACAACGGAGAAGCAGGGGAGCCTGCTTCTCCCTCTGCCTCTGCCCCCATTCATGCTCTGTCTCTCTCTCTCTCAAATAAATAAATAAAATCTTAAAAAAAAAAAAAAAAAAGCATTCAAGTCTTTTTTAATGAAAGGGATATCCTGAGATTCCAAAGGCACTTTTTAAAAATTGTAATTAAAGTAATATGGAGAAATACTTCCTCTACCTTGATTCTATGAAGTACATATATCACTTATAGGAATTACACAACAGTGATTTTCAGTCACTGAGGTGGGACTGGACACAGTATCTAGCCATGTTCAATTCCATACTTAAGGATACAGGCAGTTGGGAACAATAGAGAACGAAGACCGCCACCCCGGTGGCCCCCAAAATATACTGCTATGTGCCACCAAAGTGCTATTTCCTGGAGAGAACTGTGGGTCCTTACAGGAAGACACATAAACAAGGCCTGGACCAACAGCGACATCGCCTGAAGTTCACCAACACGGACTGTCTCTTGAGTACCCAGCAGTGGATGAATGATGAGTGTAAAGAGAAGAATGCGGGGGCGCCTGAGTGGCTTAGTCATTAAGCGTCTGCCTTCAGCTCAGGTCATGATCCCAGGGTCCTGGGATCGAGCCCCGCATTGGGTTCCCTGCTCCATGGGAAGCCTGCTTCTCCCTCTCCCACTCCCCCTGCTTGTGTTCCCTCTCTTGCTATGTCTCTCTCTGTCAAATAAATAATATCTTTAAAAAAAAAGAGAGAGAAGAATGGGAGGGAGACTTTTTTTCAGCTTAGTTAACGTGGACCGTTATAACAAACGACCACTGACGGGGTGGCTTACACGGCATTTATTTCTCACAGTTCTGGAGGTTGAGCGATCCAAGATCAAGAGGCTGGTAGAACTGATGTCTGGTGAGGACCCACTTCCTGGATTGCAGGCAGCCATCTTCTTGTTGTGCCCTCACATGGCAATGAGCAGGGAAGAGCAAGCTCTCTCTGGACTCTTATAAGGGCACTAATTCCATTCATGAGGACTCCACCCTGGTGACCTCATTTAACCCTAATTACATCCCAAAGGCCCCACCTCCTAATACCATCATATTCAACATACACCTGGGGGGGGAAGGGGGAGAGGCACCAACACTTTGGCCCATAACGGGAACCCACAGGATCAGTGAAAGTGTAGACACTGAAGGTTACAATCCATGAGTGCCATGGCACCAATGTGTCAAGTATGCTGGGCACACAGAAGAGGGAGCAATTAATTCTGCTTAGGGAAGGGACTCAGAAAAAGTCCCATGGAAGAAAGGATACTTCAACTAGGTATTAAAGAAAGAGTAGGGACTGACTAAGAAGGTAAGTGGAGAGGGAATTCTTCAGACAAAAGAATGACACCTTAAAAATCTCCTTCTCTCTCTCTGTAATTGCCTGGGGTGAATAAAACCAACTTAGCAATTTTAATCAGAGCTAAACTAGACTTTTGACTAATGTTGAGATTTCTCCAAAAGTTACTGGTTTTCAGTTTATCATCTATTCGTAGCATCTACAAAAATGACCTACTGAATTCGCAGAGGCAGCAGAATTTTTAGAACAGTAACAATACTGAAATGAAACTTAATAGTGTAGTTTACCTTTGTGGCCAATCGCCCGTGTGCATTCTCCAAGCTCACCAAAGTTGATGGGAAGTGTCATTTGCTGCCCAAGCATACATTTCCTTAAGTACTTTGTTATTTTAATATAAATTGATAAAATTTAAACGCTATATACCTACTTCTAAACTCAACCATTCTCAGTAAATCGCTGAATACTTTACATAAACAATAAGATTTTTACAAGATGATTTGTTATTCTTACCTCCATGGGAAAAGCTTTGAAATTAACTGTGTGCTCAGAACCACGCTGGTTTTCTCTCCCCCAATGAAATCTAACTTCATACAGTTCAAATTCATGCCCTTGAGGCAATGGACCTCCTGACAGAACTGAAAAGAGAAAGTAAGTTCTGTTTAAATAACAGAAAACATATTCATCAGTACAGTAGAATACTGTAGAATAAACATGGGGGACGTTTTTTGACAGAAAGCTCCTGTGAGCTCTAAAGATTAAATTCATATAGCCAAAATGAGAAATATATTCTAACTGTGGGAAGCATTCACACTATCACACTGATACAGTAAAGTTCAAAAACTCTGAAATACTTGGTAATATTGCATACCATCAACTTCTTGTGTTTCAGGTAAAGGAGTAGACAAAGAAGACACAGAGGACCTATCTCTCTGAGACTTAGACTTAGCACTACTCAGGAGACAAGGACAGGGTTTACGTCCCAGACTGACCAACAATTTGCTATCGACCAATCAATAAATTAAACCTTGTTTACAGATCATCCATCTGTACCATACTTTCAATTTAGAGAATAAGTGTAAGCTAACAAAATTACCCTTGAAAAGAATGTTCACACCAATATGATTTTCCGAAAACAAAATCACACTTATTTACCATTTAGTACCACAGAAATGCAAATGAAATAAAATTATGATAAAATATTAACAATATTTAAAATGTTAACATTTGGGGTGGGGGAAATGTTAACATTTGTTCTACAGGGCCCTGCCTCTATTTCTTATTTCTGGATAGGACCCAGAACTTTGTCCCAAACAAGAGCACTCTAAAGGATGATGAAAAATACATTTGTGTAAAAGAACCTGCCTTGAGGCAATAAAACACTTTCCTTAGTTAAACACACCCTGATGTCGTAGAGAAAAACTTCGTTCGTTACAAATGACCAATTTTGACACAAATGAAGACTGTCTGCATTTTTCCTATAAAAACTGAATTCTAAGGGCGCCTGAGTGGCACAGTTGGTTGAGCGTCTCAACTCTTGGTTTCGGTTGAGGTCATGATCTCAGGGTCCTGGGGTCCAGCCCCGCGGTGGGTTCCCCACTCAGCATGGAGTCTGCTTGAGATTCTCTCTTTCCCTCTCCCTCTGCCCCTCCCACTCATGCTGGCTCTCTCTCTTTCTCTAAAATAAATAAATAAAACCTTCAAAAAAAAAAAAAAACCTAATTGGTATCAGCTAAGAATTATAAGTTATTTTTAGTCCAGGAGCTGACAAAATTTATCCCCTCCCCCAGGAAGCAGTCTCTGAAAGAGAAGGGCACTCACACTTGGGCTGGCATTGCGGGGGAAGCAGTACGCCCAGAGCTGAGTGCTGCACAAGGGAACGGGCCTGTGTTCAGCCTTACCCTAAACCCTAGAGGACAGGAAAGGGAATTGGTGTGGCAAGATTTATTTGTCTGGCTGGTTCTTCTTCTAATCACTTGTTCCAAGAAGAATTTAAGGCTTCTTACATCAAGTACCTGTCATCCATCCAGAAGGCATAAATCAGAAAGAAGAGCAAAGGGAAAACGAAGACAGAGACAGAAAACAGATGGAGACGCGAGGCTATTGCACAAATGAATGCCGTGAAGTCCTTATGAAAAGTACCCTATATGTGTGGTTCTATTCTTTCTGCCAGCTCAAAGAAGAAAAAGAGCATCAAGCAGCAGAACACAACTGTAATTTTCCTCTCCAGGGGGAAAGGAAGTGAGACACATGGACGTTAGGATAACACTATCTCACACACGATTTTTAGGTTTTCTTCGTGCTTGGTCTTATTTTAAGTTGTACAACAAATCAGAGGGGTCAGGAGCGCCTGGATGGCGCAGTCGGTTACACATCCAACTCTTGGTTTCAGCTCAGGTCGTTATCTCAGGGTCGTGAGATCGAGCCCCACATCAAGGCTCTGCGCTCAGTGCAGAGTCTGCTTGAGATTCTTCCTCTCCCTGACCCTTCTGCTTAACCCCCCTTCTCTCTCTTTCTCTCAGATAAATAAATCTTTAAAAAAAAAAAAAAATTGGAGGGGTCAGTCAGTGTCCCCATCCCAATGAACAGGGGAGAAAGTGTGGCTGGGACAGTTCAAGAGTGACCTGCCCTGGGGCACCCAGCTAGCCAGCTCCAGGAGCCTGGAACTCCAATCTTCTGACCCACATCTCACCCTGAGACAGGACAGGGAAATTCAAATCTCTGTGTCTGTGAGCCAGAACTGAAAAAAACAATGAGTTCTTTAAGCCTGGGCTTCTAAACTGCAGTCCCTCCTTTGAGTACTACACCTCATCCTATTTCCCAAAACAATACAAAAAAAAAAGTGAACACGTGGATCACAAAGGTTTACAGATATCCCAAACTGCAGAGCAAGCGCACGGCATGTTCTCCAATAACCATCCACACTATGGATGAAACACTTGTATTTCAACAAGCAATGCCACAGTTTGTAAATAACCTCAAAAAATCACTTCTTTCCCACTGGCTGCCCGATGTTGGTCTTAAAAAAATCAGGAAGGAAGTCTGGACTGTACCCACTCCCAGAGGTGGAATGTACCCCACCTCCCAAACCAAAAAGAATCCATGGGAAAAAGCTTCTTGTAACATCCCGTGCCACACCCCGGCCTCCACCATCAGAACTCGAAAACACTCCCCACACTCCCCTCATGGGGCAGCGAGGGCCTGACCTGAGGTGTGGGGGCCAGTTCCCTAACACTCTAATTTTTTTTTTTTTTAAAGATTTCATTTATTTATTTATTTGAGAGAGAGACAGAGACAGTGAGAGAACAGGAGCAGGCAAAGAGAAAGGGAGACGCAGGCTTCCCGTGGAGCACAGGGCCCGATGCGGGGCTCGGTCCCAGGACCCCAGGATGATGATCTGAGCCAAAGGCAGACGCTTAACCGACTGAGCCACCCAGGCGCCCCCCTAACACTCTACTTTCAACAGAAGGTGGAAATTGTTTTAGAGGAGGCTTAGCTCCACGTTGCTGAGGAAAAAGAAAGGGCAGCACTGTGAACGGAAGCACATGTGACATGGAAAAGAGGATTTATAAAATCTTTCCCCCAAACCTCTTTGTAGGGCACACGCACAGAAGCGCACCATACTTCTGAGCTGGTATAGAGCCATCTACCCATACTTTCCTACAGAAACAGAGGAAAGTGACCTTGACAGTGAATTCAGGGCCCCAAAATACAACGCCCATCTGATCGATGCCCAGTATTTCTTTCCTAGGAACCAAGCCTTTAGTTTAGAACTTGAAGACAGAGCTGCTATTTTAAAAGCCCTAGAAACTCAAACTGCACCAATTTATGTGTTGACAGGGAGCAGTTCCAGGCCCACAGGGCTTCATTTACTCATCCTTTCAATTAATATTTTTATACCAGGTACCACATTAAATGCTTAAGATATACTGACTTGGCTATAACGACAACATTCACTAGCCTCATGGATCTTACATTCTATTAGAGTGAAATGAAAATTCGCACGTTTATGAAGATCAACGTTTTGCTGAGTGGTATTTGGTCACCACCTGGCAGATTTGTTAGCTGTGATGCCATTATGTTCAATAAAATTATAATGAAATAAGACCCTCACGGGTCTTACACTCCACTGGGTTGAAAAATAAACGCAAAGAAGGGAAGCCTTTTGCCCAGGCCTGGTCCCCAGGGAGAGGTGACAAAGATGCCGCTTTCAGCCAGCAATCAAGGCTCCAGGTACCTTTTGCTTTTGCTGCAGATGAATAGTCCAAAGTTAAACCACACTAAAATCACATGGGCTGTACAAAGCCATAAAAAATAACAAAATACCGAATTCAGAATTTTATGAGGTGCCAGCTAAAAGCATTACCTGTTCATCCCCCAAGAATGATTGCATTGATAGACTAAAAATAAATAGCACCTCTGTTTTACCCATTTGGCAACATCCTCTTAAAGCCTTATTCTCCCTTTTCACAGCTTATTTTTTTAATAAGAAAACTCGTCATACCAAAAGGGGTGCACTTTTCCTACATTTATGAGCATCAAATTTTGCTGAGTGATACTTTGTCACCATGTGGTAGGTTTATTAGTTGTGATGTCATTGTGTTCAATAAAATTACAGTAAAACAACATGAAACTCCCACTGATGACACGCTGCACTTCCTTAGAATAACACACTGTGGAAAGAATATAAAATAAATTGATGCCATTTCCACTAGCTGCTTTTTCTTTAATGCTCTTTAATAGGCATGGCTGTTATGCTTATACACATAAAAAGAGCTCCTTTCAGAAGCCTCTGCAAAATCTGAGAACCCCATAAAGACATGATATATATGCATTTACCTAAATCTAGCTAAGCTTCCATAAGCCTTTGCCGAAAACAAATTTGCCAGAGAGTTCAAAGGCTGCTGATCAAGGCTTATCCCCGCTCGTCTCATTTGAGTTCAACCCGCATTTAAAGCTGGACTCCATGCCCAGCCCTGTGTTGCCCACCAAGGAGGTAAAAACAAGGACACAGTCTCTGTGCTGGCCGGACATTTTCAGTGCTTAAGAAATTTAATACTGTCATTTAAACGTGAGGAGCAGTAAGGGAAAGTGCGAAGGAACCAGGAGAGCACCAAGCAAGGGCCATGCCAGAACCACAGTGGCATCGGAAGATCAGAGAAGACTTTCCAGAGGAGATCACTAAGCAGTCTGGAAGAGGAAGCTAAGGGAAGTGAGTAAGTACATTCCAAGCAGAGAGAAGGGGCTGAGAAAGGCCTGGGTCTATTTCAGGAGAATAAAAGTAGGCTTCAAGATGCAAGCACCAGGAAGGGACTTGTAGGCTATGCCTAAGAGCTGGGAGTTTATCACGGAGGGACTCACCAACAGCTTTTAAGCAGAGGACTAATATCTTCTACATTTTAAAATGTTATTCCCAGGGGTGCCTGGGTGGCTCAGTTGGTTAAGCCTCTGCCTTTGGCTCAGGTCATGATCCCAGGGTCCTAGGATCAAGCCCCGCATCGGGCTCCCTGCTCAGCTGGGAGACTGCTTCTCCCTCTCCTGTTCCCTCTGCTTGTGCTCTCTCTCTCTCTGTCAAATAAATAAATAAATAATCTTTAAAAAATAAAAAAATAAAGTGTTATTCCCATACCTTCATGGA